TTAATTTTGAGGTCAACTTAAACTTTATAGTTAATTTCGAAACTAGTGTATGGTGTGAATGGTGGTAGTCGAGAGTGTGGACTGCTGACTCTGAATCGGAAGGTTGCAGGTTCAAATCCCACAGCGTATTTTTAAGTTACAAAATTTTATTATTTTGAAGTCAACTTAAATTTTATAGTTAAATTCGAAACTAGTGTACAGTGTGAAATGGTGGTAGTCGAGTAGTGTGGACTGCTGACTCTGAATCGGAAGGTTGCAGGTTCAAATCCCACAGCGTATTTTTAGGTTACAAAATTTTATTAATTTTGAGGTCAACTTAAACTTTATAGTTAATTTCAAAACTAGTGTATGGTGTGAAATGGTGGTAGTCGAGAGGTGTGGACTGCTGACTCTGAATCGGAAGGTTGCAGGTTCAAATCCCACAGCGTATTTTTAAGTTACAAAATTTTATTATTTTGAAGTCAACTTAAATTTTATAGTTAATTTCGAAACTAGTGTACGGTGTGAAATGGTGGTAGTCGAGTAGTGTGGACTGCTGACTCTGAATCGGAAGGTTGCAGGTTCAAATCCCACAGCGTATTTTTTAGGTTACGAAATTTTATTAATTTTGAGGTCAACTTAAACTTGATAGTTAATTTTGAAACTAGTGTACGGTGTGAAATGGTGGTAGTCGAGAGTCAAAATTTCTTGAAAAGGGCACTTGCACATCGTGCTGAAATGTAGACATGTTTTTTTTTCGGACATTAATCCAATGATTATGCACACTAACGGACAATATATGGTCCTTTTCAGGACAATACATGCGTGAAGTAAAAAAAAGGCACCCGGAATGGCCGCAGGCACATGGAAGGGCACGACATCTTTTTCAAAAGGGCATTTGTTCAGAAAAAAAGGGCACTTTGCAAAAAAGGACACTCTTTACAACAAAATGAGGAAGGGGGTAAGCACTGGTGAAAAAGCATTTGAATGGAAAAGGGCAGTCTTGACACAAATATTGGGGGTAAAATACCCCCCCCCCCTTGCTACGCTGATGGACACTACATGTATATATTATGCTTGTTAGTTTGTACCCACATTGGGGAGTTGTACGTTCTTAATAAGCCGAGTGTGCAATTTGTTTGCACTGTTGGGAATGAGTCCCACAGAGTTGGTAGGCTGCGGCCGTCCTCGTCTCCTCGTCACCGTCAATAAAACACAGACCAGGTTATTTGCCATAACCTGTAAGTACTATTATTGCTTTGCAGATTCCAAAGTAACATTTCAAAGTGCAAATTGATATTGGTATAACTGTTGTAAAACATTGTAAATGTGCCTTGGCAATAACTAGTTGTTTGGGTTTTTGTGTATAAAATGTACCTTGCATTTTATGGTATGTTAAATGATATTGAGCTGCTATGGACGATGCATGTAATAATCTTGTGTAGGAGATGCATTACTGGTGACAATTTGTACTTAATTTTAAACCAGGGTTTTTGGGTGTAACGTCTGGTGTGACAAACTCCGCAGTGAGACAGACATCCTCGGCCGACCGAAG